AAAAAACAATTTTTCATGTTTTTCACGGCCTCAACTGCCACCAGCGGCGCAGTCAGCTAATAATCGCAACTTTTATTATTTGTTCGACGCCAGCTACCGTCCTCGTGTTAGGAGGGAGGATGGCGCTGCAGATCGGCTGGTTCTGGTTGCTGAGATTCGGGCGGTTTCGCTGTTTCCTCTGCACGCTGGTCTCGCTAGCCACCTAGAGATGAAAAAGGGGAGCGTGAAGTCCTATCCAATATGCGAGGAAAATTACGAGCAACAGCTAGTTAATATGTCCGGGGCAAGGGCTCTTCTCTCAGCAACTGGTAGTCGGAGCGGCGTCTGAGGGTGCCAAGTCCAGGGGTAGTGAGACGTTCGGAATCAATCACATGAACAAAATGTCGTCGAAGCGTCGACGCATTAGCCGGCTTCGCGCACCCGATCGCGATAGCTACGGGGGATATGGAAAATTGATTAAGATTGAGTGAATGATAAAAGCATTTCGGCGGAAATTCTCATTTATTATTAAACACTAAACTGCTCTATATATATACCCAGGTCAGCCTAAGGTCGGTTATATCGTAGGTCGAAGTAAAAGGGGGGAAGTGCTAATGGCATCCGGTCATTGCGTCCTTAACGTAATTCGGCTTTCTCTTTGTTCGGTGCAAGAAAATTATCCGCGGCGGTCTACTTCGTCCAAATCACCCTAGAAGGCTCGCGGATGGCACACCACGACACGATCGCGATTTGTTTTTGTGGCGATCGCGCGAAGGTCAGGTGGCGCGGGTTAATGCGCGGACTATTTCGGGGATCACACAAAGGTCTGGCGGCACTGATTAATGCGCGGGTAATTCGGTGATTGCGTGACGGTCATGCGGCATTCTGTTGAGATGCGAGTGTCTACAATCGCGCGAAGGTCATGCGGCATTCCCGAAAATTCGCGGTTCGGTTAGCGATCTCGTATAGTCAAGCGGTATTAGGCTCGGTCCTATGCGGTCTCGATTACGGGTGGGCGCGAAGAGAAAAGGAGGAGTACTCACTCTTATCCCTTTGAATGATAATCCGGCTGCTGCTAATTATACTACTGTTGCTGCCAGTTATTCCTGTTGCTGCTGCCGGTTAATGCTATGGCTGCTGATTAATACTACTGCTGATGCTCTTTGTTCACCTTTTCACTCTCACTAAACTCTCCGGGCCTCCGCACGCAACCGGAGCTCTGCTAACACTGCCGCGGCTTTTCGCGGCATTGCGTCGCTTCTCGTTTACTTCCCCTTTTTCTCGTGGGTTTTTATCTGACTGGTTAATTTTGTCACTTATCAGTGCCGTCTATATTACTATACTAACCCGCACAATTTTACTACTGGTCGGTTTTTGGCGCCTAATTTCCCTATTTGTTGGTCACATAGTGTCGGTTTTATTCTATTTGTTAGTCCACCCCTATTTTATTACCGATTGGTTGGTCAGATAGCGTCGGTTTTACTCTATTTGGCGATCTACACCTATCTTATTACTGATTAGTTTCCCCTTGCTCGCGTCCGAACGCTCTCCCATCGATTGTCTCGCTCTCACTCACGCGCTCGGTTGCCTCTCTTTCTAGCTAGTCAGGTCTAGCTCTAGCTTGCTATCGGTTGCCTCGGATCAGCCGATCTTTTTCGTCGTCTGGCTTCCTGGGGGAGTATCGGTTTGGGTTGTGAGTGTGCGAGTGGTTGTGCGCGGGCGTAAGGATCGTGCGCGTCGATTTGGTAGACCCAGAGAAATGTTTTTTTCGCGAGGTCTCGGATATGCGCGCGTGTAGACTATCAGCTGATCGGTCCACATTCTCTTGTCGGGAGAGGATTTCGAGCGAGCTTAGGAAGTTAATTTACTGTGATGACGCATCATCACAAGGTAAGTGAATTTACGGATTAGAGATTGTCTAGTCAACTTGTCAAATGTATAAATCAAATCAAATTTTTGTGTAATTTTTATGCTATTTTAATGTATTATCGACTGTAGAGAGCAATATACTTCTAAAAGTTAAATTAGTATTGTAATGCAAAGTTCGTTTATTGTGATAGAAAATCATGATGTAGCATACGAGGTCTGTCCGGAAAGTATCGGGCCTACCTTTATATTTTCGTGCTAGCGTTATTCTTTATCATCTGGTGGGTGGCATCCTTCAAAGTAATCCTCACTTGATTGAATAACACGGTTCCATCGATGTTTCCACTTTTCAAAACAGTCCTGGAACTCACTTTTAGGGATAGCCTTAAGTACACTCGTCGCATTGTTTTCAACCGTTGTTTTGTCATCGAATCGGTGTCCTTTGAGTGGTATTTTAGTTTTGGAACTAGGTTTTTTTAGGTTTGGTGAAGCCAGTCACCGCTTTTCCAAAAGTGCGGCCGTTTTCTTCTTACTGCATCACGCAAACGTTTCAAAATTTGAACGTATTCTTTATTGATTATCTGACCTGTTGGTGCATATTCGTGATGTACAACACTTTCACAATCGAAAAAAATAATCAACATTGACTTAACATTGCTCCAACTTTGGTCTTGGCGATTCAGAATGCTTCCACTGTGAAGATTGTTGTTTTGTTTCAGGATCATAACCATAAACCCATGATTCATCACCTGTAATAACTTTTCTAAGCACATTATCATCATTATTGACCATTTCCAGATTGTCCAGAGCGATTTCTAAGCGAATGTTCTTCTGCTCTGCTGTGAGCAATTTTGCGTTTCATTCCTAAATTTTCGAGCAACACACGCGTTTCATTCCTAAATTTTCGGTTAAAATTTCTGAAATGATAGTTTTTGGTATCCCAAGGTCTTCTTCTAGTTCTCGCACAGTCATACGACGATCTTGTTCGATTGCAAGTCGCACCCGCTCAATATTACTGCGGTAATAATAATAATAATAGTATCTGCGGTTCTTGTCGTCGAAGGTCGGCCGGAACGAGAATCACTATCGACAGAAGTGCGACCATCCTTGAACCGTTTATACCACTCTTTTATTCGTGTTTTGCTCATACACTCGCTTCCGAAGGCCTTTTGCATCATTTCAATAGTTTCCGAACTTTTTTTTCCGAGTTGAAAGCAAAATTTGATGCAAATTCGTTCATCTTGTTTTTCAGTTATTTTTGACAATATCAAAATCCGACGAACACGAAAAAGGCACTGTAAACAAAGACACGCTGCGCATGAACTATACGTCCGGCAGGTATCAGTAAGTAACCAATAGATTCATCAAGCTTTACTGTTGACGTTTCTGTCCAGTAGAGGTCGCTCGAACACTATGGCGCGAAGATATAAACGTAGGCCCGACACTTTCCCGACAGACCTCGTATGTTGCGAAAAATCTTTGCCTGCATAAAAGCATAAATAGACTATTAGCTCAAATATATAAATAATAAACTAATCATTGTCGCTATCAATATAAAGTAATAAAATTTACATAGTCTACGTCATTTTTGAACATGTTAGTTACATAGAATAAAAATTCTGATATACGAGGGTGGTCCGATAAGTACTTAGCCTACAAAAGAAAAACGAAAATTTTGGAAAAGTGGCGTTTTATTTTTTAACATAGTCTCCTTTTAGTTCGGTACACTTGGCCCAGCGATGCTCCAAAACCCGTCTGAAAAATACGTTTCCTCGAGGTCTGAAAAGTAGGCTTCCGTGGCAGCGATTACCTCCTCATTCGACTCAAATTTCTGCCCGGCGAGTGACTTTTTCAAGTTTGGAAACAAAAAGAAGTCGCACGGGGTTAAATCTAGAGAATACGGTGGATGGGGCAGCAGTTCGTAGCCTAATTCGACCAATTTGGCCATGGCGACGGCGGAGGTGTGAGCCGGTGCGTTGTCATGGTGGAAGAGCACTTTTTTCTTCGCCAAATGAGGCCGTATTTTCTGCAATTCGACGTCGAATCGGCCCAGTAATTCGGCATAGTACAGCCCTGTGACCGATTTGCCCCTCTCCAGGTAGTCGATGTAGATCACACCTTGTGAATCCCAGAAAACGGTGGCCATCACCTTTCCGGCCGATGGGGCAGTCTTCGCCTTCTTCGGAGCACTTTCGCCGGGTAAAGTCCACTGTTTCGACTGTTCCTTGGTCTTTGATGTATACCAGTGGATCCATGTTTCGTCGACTGTCACGAAACGACGCAGAAACTCCTTCGGATTGCGCTTAAACAGCGTCAGACATTGCTCTGAAGTTGTCTCATGGTTGCGCTTGTTGTCCGAAGTGAGCAAGCGCCGACAGCTTTCTCATGTCCAACATTTCATGCAGGACATGACCCACGCGGTCTTTTGAGATGCCTACGATCTTAGCTATCTCGCGCACCTTCAATCGTCGATCTGCCAATACGAAATCGTGAATTTTTGTCACGTTATCCTCCGTGGTAGCCGTTTTCGGAGCACCTGGACGTGGCTCTTCAAAAATCGACGTGCGACCACGTTGAAACTCGTTAAACCAACTTTTAACGGTCGCCATCGAAGGAGAAGACTCACCGTACACAGCATCCAAGCGCTTTTTGATTTGGCTGCGCGATTTCCCTTCCAAAAATAAGAATCGAATAACCGACCGATACTGCTCTTTTTCCATTTTTCAAAAATCAACGGACACACTTGCTTTCACACGCTCTCAAAAATAAACTACAACTCCGATCCGGCTAAAATCTTGACAGTAACCATCGAGAAGGTTGGACTACGTGATAGAATATTTTTTTTGCGAGAGTGGCGCCATCGGGCGGTGAGGCTAAGTACTTATCGGACCACCCTCGTATAACTGAAATAACGAAAAATCTACAATCATTTAACTTGATCAAAACCGCATCATAAATTAACTTAACTTTGGCATTCAAACTATCAGCAGACATCATTTTAGTAGTACCGCTATCTAGCTTACTTTTTAATGATAATTACTAACAAATTTTACAAATTTTAAGCCTAAATATTGTGGAATTATAGAAAATAATAATTCTACTGAACAACTGTAAAAATCATTTGATATTTATTATTATTTAATTCGTTTTCTTACCAGGTGTACAGATACAGTGTCCATCTTCAGGTGAGCACGAAGCTTCATTTTGGCAGTTACATTTTTCGACACAATCTTCTCCAAAAGTATTATTCTGACAAACTTCGTTACAGTATTCACCTCGATATCCTGTAGTGCATACGCAAGAACCATTGATTGGTGAACATTGGGCATTATTCTGACAAACACAACGATTCATACACTCTTTACCATATGTGTAAAAAGGACAAGTCCGTGAACAGGTTATACCAGCCCAACCTGGTTTACAAGAACATTCACCAGTCCATGGATGGCATAATACAGTATTAGCCTTTTCACAATTACATATCTGAAATTATTGAATAATTAATTTATTTTCAAAACAAAGTAATAGTATTTATATTTTTTCTGTGTATTACTCGTGATTTGTGTTGGTAATAAAACAGTTTCTTATGTATCATGAATAAGTTGAATACAAATATACTTAAATGAAATGATACAGAAGGAATAATGTAAAAATACGACATAAAATGAAGCGAGAATTATTGAGAAGAAAATTAAAAAAGAAAATATACACTCTGCCCTTATTATAAGCCTTATTTTTCATGATAATATAAGCAAACATCGCTTCAATCCATTAACAGATGTATAGAAAATTATAATGCCTTTTCGATACTTTATGTGACTTATGGATAGACCGTAACATACGTAGTTTTTTTATCATCTTTCATTTTATGAAATTAGGTACTGTGACGGTAAACGTCGAATTAGCGCTAATAGCCTAACCTAGTGGCTGCCTGCGGAGGCAGCACTTACCGGTGGACGAAAAATGTAATGAGGGAATTCGGCACGCGACGAGGCGGAACGCGCGCGATTGAAAACGAACCAGTGCAGGATTAACTACCGATACCGAGTCGCGAGTGAAGGATCGGCCATCGACACGCCTAGCCAAAAGTGCACAATCAGCTACCGATACACGAGCCAAAAGTCGAGAGTTAGAACCCGATCGCAGAGCTGTGCTACATTTCCCCGAGTTTTACCAGAGTGCCGATTCGAGCCGAGTCGGAGCTGCGACAGCGGTGCCTTCGCCTGCCTGGAAAGCGTGCGTGAGAGTGCGCGTGTGAGGAGTTTCGCCAGCGAGGGCGAAACCGAAAACGCGAGCTTCCGCACATTAAAGACAGACTTTCCTGCAGTGAGAGTGCGAATCATTTCTTTCGTTCTTCGTACGTCTGCAAAATAAAGATAAGCTGACCAGCTTAATTTCACGGTCGCGATATAATTGCTACGCGACTAATACCTCGATTCGACAAAAAACGTGCATGTAACATCTCGGCAAACAAAGAGCGTAGAGCGATCCGACACTGCATGTTGTTGTCGTGCGCGCGGCATGTAAACATAAACACGCTGGCCAAATGAGATGTAATACTAAGAGATAATAAAAGTTCTCGTCTGTGATATTTACAGTATTTTCGAAGTGTTCTTTTCGTATTTGTAGTTAGTTGGTTGACTGACACCCGTTTCCTCTTGCTCTCCGACTTTCGTATTTAACATAGGTAATTATGTGTGCTTTTCGATACGATTACGCGGATAAAATTAATTAAACGGTATCCACCCCGTTACAGTACCAATAATTCAGACAATTATAGAAATAGCACAACAATATTTATTGGTATAAATGATGTTTTATAATAAATTAATTATGAACCAAATTATCTGTTTTATTCCTTCTACCCTTACATGCTATGTGCACAGAATAGACAAGCCTACAATACAAGAGTAGTTTGTCTAATTGTCATCTATGCTGATTAACTTCACGTTAATCGGTTCGTGGGTGCGATCATGAATAATCCGTGGTTGTATTATTAGAATAATAGGATGTAGAAATAAAGGTATTATAAGACAAATTAAACCATAGTGAAGTAATTATGTGAATTATTGCATTTTCTCAGCCTCCGACGGTGGCAAAAATCATTTTCTTTACGATTTTCTCTTCAACCGTTGCCTCACAATGCTTCTGCGTACCATCATCGGACCCGATGTATTAATATATACGTAAACATACTATTCATGCTTCGGCTGTATATTTTGAGGTAGAGATTTGCGGAACCGGGAAAGAAAAAAGATATAAATTTCGAGGACTGTATAGAAAAAGATGCGCATGGGAAGATAGATAAAAAAAGGAAAAAAGAAGGAAGAGAAAGACAGCGCGGCTCAAGGCGAGTTCGAATAAGCGATACAAGCCGTATTACGCGTGTATCAGAAGGAAACGATAAAGAGGCCAGTGAGGCGTACGTGCCACCGTTTGGTGGTGCACTCGTTCTCCTCGTTTTCTTCTTTGTGAAATTTCCGACTTGCAGCAGCTAACTCGATATATCTATGCTTAGCTTCGTGAACCGCTGCGTTATTGTCAGATACTTTGTTTCGTAGTATTTTGGTGGGTCAGGTATCACTTGACCTACACAGTGGCTCCATCGGTACATAACAAGCTGCCATCAACGCCTCTGCAAAATCACAGCAACATGATCGGCAGCAATAGCAGCAGAAACAGTAGCAGCAACAATGACATGAGCGGCAACGAGCTATGGTAACGTGGGCTTTCTCTCTCTCTCTCTCTCTCCCTCTATATATATATATATATTTTTTTTTAGTTTAGGACCCCATATGCGCTTGATTACGCGCAGAGTATACTCAGTAGGTACGAGCGCTGAGTATACTCTGCGCGTCTCTCCTCGACCATAATCATGATTCCCCTTTCACTCGCCTACGCTCCTCAGCCATAATCATGAGTATAGTCGAGGAACCGTAGGCTCCTCGACGATATTATCAGGCATATGATGGCCTGCAGATACTTTTCGACACTCCGCACGCTCGACAGAAAACTTACGTTGATAATCGCACTTTCCACACGTCGTATCAAAAAATACGGTACGGTACATGTTCGGGAGAGAGTTTCTCGTCTCGTGTACCATTCCACCCTCGCTTTGCTCGAGCGTAAACGCTACACGAGACTAGAATCTACTTCCCCGCACTTGTATCGCTATGTACTCTGGTGAGAGTATATTAATTTTATTTAAATAATATCATAATAAATGTTCTAAAATAATTACTAATTTTTTAATTTTATTTTAATCCCACTGTATCTCGAAAATCAGGCGCTATGGGGTCCAAAACTAAAAAATTTTTTATGCATCAAGGGAGAGCCTCAGATACGTCTTGGCGCGTTGATAGGTGGGGGGTAGATGATGCCTCGGTCGCTACGCGACCTCGGCACTCTACCCCCACCTATCACCAACGCGCCTCGACGTAATCCGCTGAGGCTCTCCTTAGATACGTAAATAACTAATATAACACAGCATCCAAAGAAATAAATCGAGGATAAACATAACATCAGTATCGAGTAGCCAATAAAGAAGAATGGCATTGTCGTTGGCTACGAGATAGTTTAGTACAGGATAGCACAGTCTAACAATTTCGCCCATGGTTTCGCCTGTAATGACTGGTCAGATCAAGAACGAGGCAGTATCAAGAGCAACCTATCATAATATATTCACACTTCGGCTATCATGCTGCCAGTCGATGAATTTCATTTTAATGGGAGTCTGACTATTGCACAGATACTCGCTGTAACAGATAAGAGCATCAAATGTGCTGCTGACTCACAGGCACTCATCCCACGTGACTGCGGTGTTAGACAGAACATTGACCTACAGGCGCCTGTTTTGAGACCGCACAATGCCGATCGTATCGCTGGCTAACAGGTGCTCTGTGAGTCTTCAGCTACCTCGCCTGCAGTCCTAATACAGGGCTCGTTATTATCACTTGCAATGTCTGAAGCATCTGCTTTATTTATGATACTTTCATTATAATAAATTTTATATCCTTCTAGTCTATAGTAACTTGAGTTATGTAAGTTCCAAGTTTCTGTGCATAAAATTATACTAGGTTTCACTTTAAGGTTTTCAATGCTAATTTCTAATTTCTTAAAATTTTCTTTTAAGCTTCTAATATATGTGAGTAAGCTTTTGTCACTCGAGAGAATTTCATTGAAAGATATCAGATCTTTATATACATTTACATTATTTATTAAATCGTTGACGTTAGAAGAAAGCATAAAATTGTATCGCGTAAAATAACTAAATATGTGATTAAAGTATCTGTTGAAAATGAGTCTAAATTATAGTTAGATTGTCAAAATTTTATTAACTTCATAAAAATTGAATTATTAATCAAAAGCGTAAGTAACATATATAATTCCGATCAGAGTGGATTCAATTTATAAATGCATATTGGCAACATTGAATGAAAAAGATATAGAGACAGTCGAATCAGTAGTACAATCAATGTCATCGACTACGTATAGTTATACGATTTGACCGACAATATCTGCAGAAGATATGTTACCTTGCTCTTACCACTTTTTATTGTATTGTTACGTCCTGATCGTAAACTCTACTTATTTTGAGGTCAACGGTAATCAAGCAAGCTCAAAATAGCAAAGTAAGCACTAAAATGTATTTCACCTTTTACGAAACACAAAATTGTCAAACTGACCGAACTCAGCAGAATTCCAACACAATCCAGAAATCGAAACACTGACATATTAACTTCTTGATTACTCGACAAATGAATGTAGGCTAATAAGTCAATATATAAAAGAGCGTACTGATTTTTAGTCAGTTGATTCGCGACGCGCGATAATTCCATTGTATTAATTCAATTACCGCTCACGGAGTAAATTTTATTTATTAAGGGTGTTGCCTAGTCGGCGGGGTAAAAAAATTGCTATTTTTTGGAATTTTTTTTTGAGTAGATTATGAAAGATATGGATATAAAAATACATAGGTATAATAAATTAGATCTTAAATTCCAAAAAAAAATTTTTTTTTATTCATTTTTTTCAAGTTTATTGTATGAAATACGTAGTTGAATATTGAGCGGTAATTTCAAGACAGCTTAGTCGCAACATGATTTCTCAGCAACGGCTTATCTGAAACAAAAAAATCAGTGTTTTAGATTTGGTATGACAATAGCTACAGAATGGACCATAATTATTAAGTTTGGGCTAATTTTGTGGATTTTACTTAATAAAATGTGAAAAAAAGTTGAAAAGTTGAAAAGTTGAAAGTTGAAAAAAAGGGCTTTTTTTTGGCATTTTTTGGAAAAAAAAAATAGTAAAAATCAAAATTATAACTTGTAAGTGGTCCACTTTGTGGATAATTATGTATAGAATATGTGGTCTAAATTTCAAAAGGATCGGTCCACTGGTTCCGGAGAAATCGTGTTGCAGGTCCGAAAAAACGTTGTTTTGAGAAAAACGCGTTTTTAAAGTTTTTTTAAACAAAAAATATA